CAAAGCTACAGTGTCAAAAGGAACAACTGGAAGAGCAGGGTAAGCTGCAAATTCACCTGACAAGTGTGTTCAGCAAGATGCATCCTCCAGGCAACAAAGAAACTGAAAGAATGAGATGGAAAAATGGCATTTCTGCCACACCCAGAAGGGTTTTCCCAAGGCCAGCACAAATATTCCTTTCTAGATCTTCATGAGACAAAACCTCACAGGTGCCTTAGATAATTTTAAGGCTTGAAAACCCCATTTTTTCACCACTATCTTTAAGTCAGAGCACCTCACCCAATACCTGATGCTTTTGTCTTCACATCCAACATCTACTTTACTGGGATGATATGGCCTTTCCAGTAATTTTAATTAGCCAGAGGACTGATGAGGATATAATCTTCAATTATTAGGTTACCAAGTGCTCCTACAGCACAAGAAGTTCCACCTCAACATGAGGAGAAACCTCTTTCCTGGGAGAGTCATGGAGACACCGCATCCCAGAAATCCTACCCCAAATCATCTGACTTTTAATGCATCAACCTCTGCCTTGGGGTCACTGTGCTGCTACTACTGGACATCACTGGGCACCAGACAGCTCTGAGGACAACAGGACCACTCTCAGGAGAAAAGAAAACCACCCTTTTCACTCTTTTTCTCCCCAGATACAGACACAGCCTGCTGTAGCATAAATCCATCCTCACTCAGCTGGAGTTATCAGCTGCTGCCAAGCTGGTTTGGATCCAAATGGCCAGTTCAGGCACAAAACACCCTCTAGTTCAATATTTTTCTTCAGAAACACCCTCATTCCTGAATAAGCTGCTCCTTCCACCTCAGGAGCTACAAACCCAACAGCAAAGAGCAGCTCCTAAACCACAGTGGAGCTCATCCTAAAGCCTGGGGAAACTTCTTGGAGCTGGTGACAGGGCAGATACCTCTAACTCGCCCAGCTTGTCTCCAGTTGGAAGGGCTGTGGGGCTGGTGTGTGCCTCTTGCTGGCAGGAGAAGCACAGGTGGAAGTTTTCCTGCTGCACAGGGATCCTCCAGCTCCATAGTCAAGCAAACACAGCTTGGCAGTGCCACATTTTGGGGGGGGGCAATTAAGGAAATGCCTGGTTCAGACACCAACTACAGAGAAGAACTGCTTTCTATCCCCCCTCAAGCATCTTCAAGCTCTGAACTTCTTGCAGAGCAGCAACAAGGTGAGACCTCTGGAGTAGCTGTAACTATCAGAGGCACTTGCACAACCTCTGGTTTCAGAGATCTGCAAACATCAGACCCACGAGGAGACCAAAGTGTGTTTGGGGCAGGATCCATAGCCTGGCCATCCAGAAGGAGCCTTTCCATGGCCTCAGGGACTGCTGGGGACAACCAGACTAAGGCTGTTCCCTGGAAACACATGGGAAAAAGTGTCTCACCCGCTGATCACTTTCCTGACCACAAAGCACCAACATCTTGGTTTCAATTTTGTCTGTGAGGCCCCTAGACATCCAGCCAAGTGCATTTTCCTGAAAGCCAGTTAAGTTCTGCTTCCTGATTTGGGGCAAAGTAGTTCCAGATCAGGAAGAACTTTGCCCTTGGTGGATCACACCCAAGTGCCCATTTCCAAGCCCTGGCCCCAGCCCTGTCTGGTGACCACTCTGGCTCCCATGGCTGTTTTCCCCTCTCCCAGTTCAGCAGTGAGTTCACACCAGAGCTAGAAACAAACCACTTCCCGGCTTCTTCCTCACTCTGAGTCAAACATCTCCTAGCCCTGTAGGTCCTAGAGAACCCCACCCAGCACCATGGCTCCAGCAGACAGGCAAAACAAGGACAACATGTCCTGAACCCCTTCAGCAGAGGATGCATCACCACAGCTTGGCTTGCTGGATGTGTCAAAAACCAACAAACAACCCAAACAAAAACCTCTTGACGAAGCAGCTTTTTCTCCCACGGATGCTGCTGTGAGTCCAACTGACCCCCTGGCCCACCAGCATCACTTCCTTCACCCAGAGTGGGGAGGAGAACTTCCACAGCTCTTCCATCTTCCTGGCAAGTATTCAAACCCAGCAGAGCTGCCTGTCCCCCCTGTCACACACAAGCAGGATTAAGAACAGCTGGAGAAAAGGTGAGGAACAGGACACAGAGCTGCTGCCACCCAGACCTCTGATGATGACTCCTTGGAGAACACCTCCATCCTTAAAAAGAAATGTGTTTCCCATCATCTCCAACAGAACCTCTGCTGTTCACTACGTTTTTAATCCCATCATGGGATTAAAATTTTTCCTCCTCACTAGGTTTTTTTCATTTATTAAGCATTCAAATTTCTCTCAGACTGGAGCTCCAGAACAAGCTATTCCCAAACTGGCATGAGCCAGTTCAAACCACGCACAGATGCAGGAACTTTTATTTATGGATAAGGCTGAAAACAAGTAGCTTTTGGTCTTGGGTGCACCAAGGGCAAAGGAGATGGATTAAGCACAGACCAAACAAATATTCCAGGATGCCCAAAACACTGAGAGTAGCTCCTCAAATAAGAGCTGACACTAATGCCCCAAAATACATTTAATTCCTGCTCCTTGGAAAGTCCTAGATCAAAAATCCAGAGATATTTGTAAAGATCACCTCTATCAACAGAGGTTGGAAAATCTGGGCCAGACAGGGGTTTTCACAAGGTGGCCTTTTGGTGATGAAGTCCCTGGGACTCCTGGTAGATGCCAAACCTCCCCTGGAGGCAGAGGCCTTTTTGGTGACTGAGAAGGTGGGCAAGGTGCTAATGGAAGAAGTGGGAGTTAGAAGAAAAGCAACCTGGGAGGGTGTTCAGATCAGAGTACATGGAAATATCAGAGCATGAAACCTTCAAGCAGTTTTGAGATTCCCAGTTTCTTCCCTTGGACCAGCAAGTGAACACCAGCACTTCACCTCTCCCCTACCAGAAGCATCATCACATCCCACCCAGCCAAGTCACCTACCAAGACATTGCCAAGATCATCAGAGCCTCCTCCAATCCTTCCTCTTTTAGGGGACTGGAGTTAAACCAACGTCCCAAAGCCTCACCTAGAACAGCCCAACACCCCCTTACAAAATAACCACACAGTTGGACCTAATTAGGAGGTGCTAAACAGCAAAACTGAGGTGGGCAGATCTCCCACAGCTTGAAGCACCACCCTTGGTAACCGTGTAGCTAAACTGCCTCAATCAATGCCTTGTTTGTGGGGGTTATACCCACCCCACAGCCCCCCCAGTCTCACCCCCACAGCAGAAGAACCTGCAGACAAGATGCTGAGCCCAGTGGGCAAGAAAGAAGTTGCTTTTTCACCTCATTTAGAAAGCCACTATTTGTCATTCTGGAAAAAAAAACCTTTTCTTCACTCCTTCTTCTCCTCCTAGTAACCATCAGAGATCAATAAAGAATTATTCATTGCCTTTTTTTGGCCTTCAGAACCTTTGTCAAAGCACTACAACTGCACTGGCTGTTGAATATGCAGGTGGTGAATTATTTTCCAGAACAAAATTAAAAGCTGGGCAAGAGTTGCAGCAGCCATTTCCTTGGAGTTGAACCAGTTACTCCTCGGAGAAGAAGTCCAAGGCTCTTGGCAGATCTTTTAACTGCTAACCAGGTGCAGCCTGGGTAGAACCTCCAGCTGGAAGAAAACTTCTCAAAGAGCTGAAAAGACTCAGGTTCCTCCTTCCCCACCCCCCTAAAACCTGAATTCCAGGTTCTGCAGTGCTGCTGCAGGAATGTGATTACCACACGTAATGGTGGAGGTAGCTCAAATGCTTTGGGGCTCCATTGTTCTTCACAGGACAGAAAAACAAAGGGCTGATCAGGGTCACCCCAAATTCAGAGGCTGCAGACAAGCAGAAGGATAATTACTGATCACCTGTGCATCCAGATGACCTACCAGCTGCAATCAGGATCAGAGGGATTCCCCTAGAGCAGAAGAACAAGTCCCAGACACACTTTGAGGAGGACAGGAGGTTGCTTTTGAAAGAGCCAAGCAATGATGCTAATGAGAGGGACGCCTGAGCTGAAGCTCAGGGGGTTTCCACACACTCCCAGTGGGACTTTTTCATGTTTCTCTGGTGTTATTTCAAAAGAAACCACCACAGGACAAAGGAACAGGGGGAGATCATGTTCCTGGACTCCCAGCAGTAAACACAGGCTGGAGATGCCAGAGTTACCTGCAACACACACAGCCCAGCAATGTGCTGAGCACCCAAAAAGGAGGCACAGAGCAGGGCAAGCTCCTTGCTCCAACCAACAACAAGTCCCATATTTCAAAAAAAAACAACCCAACCAAACAAGGCACAACACCCCATGAGACCTTGGGGTTTCATTCCTCCAGTGGACAACACTAGTTTGAAACCACCCCAAGAGCTACAACTCAGACTTGAGCACCTGATCCCAGGAACCACATCCATGAGGATTAACTGGGCCCCTTCCCTGGCTGGTGAACCAGGGGGTGGGTTTACACAGAATTCCCCAAGCAGGGAAAAAGCCTGAGACTTGCTCCCAAATAACAACCAGCTCTTCAGAGCAGCCACCCACCCCAAGCCCCCCCAACCCAAAAACCAGCTCCCCAACCAACAAGGCTTGGGATAAAAACTACAACAACCCCCATTTTCCCCCCACCCCATTTTATTGCTCCTAATTCATGACTGAGGAAGTGATTAGAAGACAAAACGTAGTTGGAACTAAGTTCTCAGCTGGTTTCCACCCCCCAAAACAACATCCCTCACCCCAAACTGGGGGGTGAGCTCCATTCCTTCCCAATCCCAAAACCAGTTTCTCAGTGGCTTTAATAACCCGACCCAAAAAAGCTACCAGATAGGTTTTCCTATAGGAATAAGGGTGGAATCCGGATTAAACTCCGGAAACCCCAATGAAGCAGAACATGGGCACGTCCCAGGGCACCACGTCCCTCTTCCTGAGCCTTTCATCGCACCCAACACCCGGGAATGAAAACCCCAAGGGAACTAGGCGGGTCTGGGTTCCCATTTCATCCCACCCCCCGCTGTCCCAGTTCTCCCAGTACCCAGAAGGCGAGGCTGAGCAGCAGCAGGACAGTCTTAGAGGTGATCACGCCGCAGTCCATGGTGGAGAGAAGGGAAAAGAAGCTCCCGAGCAGGCGAGGAAAGAAGAGCTTTGGGTTCTCTTTGGGGCCGCCCCCGGGCCCGCCCCCGGGGGTTGGGAAACACCGGGAACAAACGTCACAGCCCGTTCGTGTTGACTTCAGCAAGTCGGGTTGGTTTGGTCGCTGCTTCTGCAGCTTTTGAGCTCGGTCAGAGGTTTGTTGGTTTTTTTGGGAAAAGCTCTCACTGTGGCCAAAAAGGTTCCCGTCGGGTCTGGCTCCCAGGGTTTGCTGGCCCGCAGGGAAGTGTCTTCTTTCATCCAGGGCTTTGGCAGCATCTCTTCCTGATCTTCCCAACAGCAGGAACGCAGCCACAGCAGGGCTTGGACACTCAACAGTAGAATGATAGAAGCATTTTGGTTGGAAAAACCTCTAAGATCATCCAGCCCAGCCCTGCCAAGGCCACCCCTGCCCCATGTCCCTCAGCACCACATCTACATGGCTTGGAAACCCCTCCAGGGATGGGGACTCCAGCCCTGCCCTGGGCAGCCTGGGCCAGGGCCTGACAACCCTGGCCAGCAAGAAATGCTGCCCAACATCCCAGCTCAGCCTCCCCTGGCACCACTGCAGCCCATCTCCTCTTGTCCCATCCCTTGTTCCTGGGGAGCAGAGCCCGACCCCCCTGGCTCCAACCTCCTCTCAGGCAGCTGCAGAGCCAGAAGGTCTCCCCTCAGCCTCCTTTGCTCCAGCCTGGACACCCCCAGCTCCCTCAGCTGCTCCTCCTCACCCTTGTGCTCCAGACCCTGCCCCAGCTCCCTTGCCCTTCTCTGGACACGCTCCAGCCCCTCAAGCAGATGAAGGAGGAGAAGTTTGCTGAGGAGAGAGCACAGGTGGGTCTTGGGGCAGGAAGGAAGGGAGAACCACAGGCAGCTTTTAATGGCTGGAGCCACCAAACTGTAAATGCACTAGTGGGGCAGCCCTATGATTCATTGTCTGTGTTCATGATGATCTTCTCAGGCTGGGATTATTCACACTGTGTTCCCTTTGTGTGGGCACTCTTTGCTCTTTCAAAGTTGAGAGAAAGAAAGGAGAACAACATTTCTCCATGCCCATGGGCGTGGAGAGGGAACAGCTGATCTCTCCTACTCCCAAAGAGCATTTGTCTGATGAGGACTAGCTCAGACGTGGTCAGGGGAGGGCTCTGATCTTTGCTCTTCTGCATTTAAACCACAATGACCAAGCACAACCCGTGCGTGCAGCTGATACCACCAGCCAAGGCCAAACATGGACCTGTCCCATCAGCCTCCTCGTGTCTTCACTCAAAAAACTGGCAGCTCTTTTTCAGCTCCAAATATCTGAAAGCTGATCAGCTTCTCTACATTTCCCAGCCATGAATCTCAGAGTTAATGAAATTTTAAGAATTACTCCTCTCTCCAAATGTCCCAACACCAGTGTCCCCATTTGAAGATCCCTCCTGAAACGCAAAAAGACTGTGTTTAGAAAGGAGAGATTGTTATTTATTGCAGGTTTGTAGAAAGCTGGGGGCTTGGTGCCTTCCCACAAATCAAGCACACCCAAGGAGATTTGTCTTGACATATTCATACACAACACTATGAATTTAGGAAGCTTCCAAGTCCATCCTCCTTGCAGTGCTTGGTTGGTGATTCACACAGTTATAACATGGTTCCATCACTCTTTCTGCTATCACACATGCTCAGGGGAAGGGTCTTCACCTGGGCAGGGGGCTTTTTGACCTGGGGGGGCTGATTTTTAGTATTATATTGACATGATAATAAACTAAGTTGACCTAAAGGACTCACTATCTCAAGTTCTACAGCTCCAGCTGCCCCAGACTGGTTTAGCTGCCAGTCTTGTTGATTGTGACTCCCCTGGCCCTGACTCAGCCAGTCATGTGGCTCTGAGAACACAGCAAACCCTTCAGGAAATTAACAGAAGTACCCAAAAGACAGAAATCCCAGGAGACAAGTATTTTTGAAGACTGCCTGAAGGTGCTGCAGGAAGGATTAGAAGGGAGCATTGACCAGAGGAACCTAAAATGGTCTGGAGTGTGACCAGTGAGGAAACCAGAGGGGAATTCAGAACCACAGAAGAAGTTCTGAGAGCTCCAGCCTGGGGACCCCAGGGCGTCTGCCAGCAAAGAGAAGGACTTTTGATCCTGTAGAAGGAAGGGACCTGATGTGCCCAAGTGCAGCCACCACAATCCCACACAAAAGGAACAGGGAGAAGTTTTCTCTTTTATGAGGCTTGAGGATGACTTTGGTTCCCTTGAAATGGGTTTGTTTTCCTTCTAGATGAAGAAGTACAAGGTTTCTTCTGCACAGAGGGGGAATTGTTCATCAGTTGATACCAACCAACCTCTTACACTTCCTCCACCAGCAGAAAGGCCCTGCTGTTCTTGCTGGATTTTCCCACCACAGATGCTGCCGAGTTGCTCCAGCTCAACCCCTGGTGCTTCCCACCACCTATTCCCAGCCCTTCCCTCATGCCGACCTCAGCGTTCCTGTGGAGGAGCCAAAGCAGATGGAGCCCAAGGAGCCACCTCACCCCATCATTATGGCTCAGCCACACGAGCTGGATCTTCGTGCTGATCTGCCTGAAGAGGGAGAGGACTGAGAGGTGACTCCATCCCCTTTTGTGGCTTCTTCCATTTCAAGCTGCTTGAAACCTTGGAGCACATCTAAAGCTCCGACTTTGGTGCAGTCGGTGACACCTGAGTGTGAAATGGGGCTTTTTCCTGGAAGGTTTCTGGGCTGTTCCATAGAGAAAGGTTTCAGGAAGGAAAATCCAAGTTTGCAAACCCAGGACAGACCTTCTGTGATATAAGTATCCCACATATATATGTTCCTCCAGTCAGGAAACCCTGGTAGAACAACTCAGCAGCAGGGATCCCGTTTGGCACGTGAGTTAAAGAGACTCTTTTTATCACTGAACATTCATGTCAAATAAGCTTCAAGTCACAAGACATCCATCATTTGGACTCAAATTAGCTTCTCCAGCAGGAAGTATCTTCAAAGCTGGTGGAGGGAACTTCACAAACACACACAAAACAAACATCAACAGGGGGATTGGAGGATCCACACCCCATTTTCCATGAAACATCCTGAAAATATTAGGTAAAATCATACAAAACCAAGAAATTCAGCCCTCCAGGAGGAAAATCCAGAGTTTCCTGCTGCGGGGTTTCCCTCTCCCAAACATCTCCATAAGTCAAAGCAGGATGATGGTGAAGTCTCTCCTGAAATAAACTCAAGGGGTTCCAGCTCCAGCCCAGTGTGTAAATCCTCTGTAGCCCACACCTTTGGGTGTGCAAGGATCCCACAAACTGCAGATTTCGCTTGGAGGAGAACAAGCTTGACAGACAACTTGAAACACGGACCTTTCTACCTTTTGGATCATTTTTATTATTATTTTTTTCCACCTTGTTATCAGCCAAGTCCTGCTAATCTGCAAGAAAGGCCAGCTCTTGGCAGGACTCGTGTTTCTGGGCTCCAAAACTTCTGCAACAGCTTTTTATTGTGTTTTTTTTAGGTACAAAGGAGTCGAAACAATCACTGCTCCAGAGCCAAGGTTTTATATCTCATTTTCCTCCACCTTGGAGCCTGGCAGGACACCTACCACAGGAGACCTCGACCAGGGGCTGACGTCCTGGGTTTCACGCGGCGACCACCAACCTGCAGGCCCAGGGAACCCTTTCTCACCGCTTGGTTCTTGTTTTCCCCTCTTACCTGCTTATTAACGCGTTATTTTTCACCCTCGCGCCGGGCTCTGCTCCTACGAGATGTCACCAGCAGGTCACGGTGAGAGAACCTTACCCTGTTACACTGAGGAGGGGCCCAAGGGATCTGCGGGTCCTGATGGACGACTTGGGGCTTCTGGTGGGTGGGAAGTTGGAGATGAGGTGGCAACTTGTCCTGGCAGCCCAGAACCCACCCGTGTCCTGCATCCCCAGCAGCGTGGCCAGCAGGGCCAGGGAGGGGATTGTCCCCTCTGCTCTGCTGAGACCCCCCTGCAGGGCTGGGGCCAGGGCTGGGGTCCCCAGCACAGGAAGGACATGGAGCTGCTGGAGAGAGTCCAGAGGAGGCCCCGGAGATGCTGGGAGGGCTGGAGCAGCTCTGCTCTGGAGCCAGGCTGGGAGAGTTGGGGTGTTCAGCCTGGAGAAGAGAAGGCTCCAGGGAGACCTTAGAGCAGCTTCCAGTGCCTGAAGGGGCTCCAGGAAAGCTGGGGAGGGGCTTGGGACAAGGGCAGGGAGGGATGGGATGAGGGGGAATGATGAAAA